AAGATTAGCATGGCCCCTGCGCGCGCAAGGATGACACGCATAAATCGAGAAATGGTCAAAAAAAGTGGAGAAAGGCTAAGTACAAAGAAGGAAGCCCGAAAGGCAAAAAAACTGAGGTCGAAATAAAACGACCACTAGGAAATTAAGGACTCCCCACGACCCCGTGTGTGGCATACTTAGGGTTCACCGACTGAGAAAGTCGGCTTGTCCCTCCTGGCTGGTCGTTGAAGTTGCATGGGTCTTTCCGGCCCACGCCAGGTGTTAGGAGCTTGGGTGCTTCTCGCCGCACAGAGCAGAGTTAGGTCGTCATAGACGTATAACCGTAGGATAGTCACGGCCTACAGTCTTCCCCCGAATACAAAGCACGGTCATTATAGCTGTATTTGAGGCATCTTTCAGTCTAGATACAGCTGTAATGACCGTACGTTGTCTTCAGGGGAAGACTGTAGTTAGCAGATTAAAACCACCAGTACTTTTAAAGGCGTGCCCATGAACAAGCCACAACAATTTTATTAGGAAACGTACGGGCCACTACAGGAGCGTCCAAATTCATCCGACTAGAAACGTTTCTACTCTATTTTTGTCTTTTTTTTTCCTTCAATGGCCGAAAGCTGGGTCAAGTACTGGTGGTTTAAGGTTCGTCTCTCAACTGGAATAGATGTGATCCGTGAGTACCGATGGTTCTGCAAAGTAGGTAGGGTCTGGTAGTCCCATAACCCCTAGGATCGTCTCCTTGGCCTCGGGTATAGTAGGTAGTGTGAGGTTTGAAAATGATGAGAGAAGAAAATAAAATAATTAAAAAAAAGGAAAAGAGAACGACCAATATCCGTGAGTACCGATGGTTCTGCAAAGTAGGTAGGGTCTGGTAGTCCCATAACCCTTAGGATCGTCTCCTTGGCCTCGGGTATAGTAGGTAGTGTGAGGTTTGAAAATGATGAGAGAAGAAAATAAAATAATAAAAAAAAAGGAAAAGAGAACGATCAATAAGACAGAGAAAAGGAAGACGAGAAAACGGCCACTTCGAAAAAGAAAAGGAGGATAATGAGACAATGGCAACTTGATTGACACGTGTAATTGCACGTGTTTATGGATTGGAACAATATTCAAGCGATTGAGAAATGGTCAATTTTTTTTTTCCAGTGGTGTTAGAAAGGAATGACACTGAATATAAAAAAAAGAGTGTAGGAGGAATTGGGGTTTTGGGTTAAAGATTTTTTTTTTTTTTTGGTCGAACTTACCGGGTTTATTTTTTTGTAAATGCTGGTGGTGGTGGTGGGCAATGCAGTTTGTTCTCCACAAACTGAAGGAGTTTTGTTGTGTGTTTTGTCTGCACCCGGAGTGTGTTATGCGTTTTTTTTTTTAATTTTGTCTGCGCGCAAAGACGTAAGTGGGCCTCGCGCTCCACTACTCACCACATGAACAAAAGACGAAAAATGTAATGGCGGAGTACACTTCCGTGTTTTTTTTTTTTTTTTTTTTTTTTTTTTTCCTAGCGGATGATTTAGTCTTATTTTGTACATTTAGTGAAGTAGTGGAGCGAGGCCCAGTGTAGAAAATTTATAAGACTCTGAGTGCAAGAAAATGTGCAGCAGCTGGCACCCTTCTGATAGTATATTTTATTATGAAATAACTTCCGTCTTCCCCCGAATACAACACACCCCGATCAAATATATAGAGGAGCTTAATTTCCAGGGGACAACACACCTCGATCACGAATGTGTAGAGGAGCTTAATTTCCAGGGGGTCCCATAGCATCATGATGAGGGTTCGTTGTTTTCGGGGGAAGACTTCACAGAGTTGCTACTAACAATAGGAGATGTACGGAACCGGCAATCGATTGTGAAAATCAGTAGTTCCGTTTTCCCGCGAATAGAGCGCACGGTTATTCTCGCTTACGTGGACCGACAGTCGACCGCTCAAAAGGTACTGCTGGGATACCAAAGCAGGCAGGCACTGCTGCCGCGTACACGGTATGGCACGGCAATCGAACTGTTGTAAGGTTTTGAGGGTGTCAGGGAGTCTTTTTTTTTTTTCTTTTTTTTTTTTGGTCAGGTAGTGTTAACCTAGTCTGGATCTTCCCTTGTAGGGCCATCGATTAATTGATCTCTGCAGCCCGGGAAAGTGACTAAATCCACTTTCATTTCGTACGTTGCGTTGTGCCAAGCAGCACGTGAGGAGAAATGAGGATGGAGGAGAGGTGGACATGAAGGGAGGGCGGAGGAGGGTCTGGAAAGAGTGACGAAATCCACGTTTATACATCGTGTGTGGCCAAGCAGCAGCAGGCGAAGAGAAGAATGGAATGATTGAATGATGACTAGAAGAATGGAATGGTTGAATGATGACTGAGTACCAGCGAATTACCAGAAACTTACGAATTCGATGATCGAGTATACCTGCTGGATTGGCAGGGCAGCGGTCCGGAGAAGCATCTGGTGATTGATTAACTGGCTGCGTGGTTTTCTGTGGGATTGGCTGAAGACTGGGTTAGTGATCGGCTGGGTGGTAGGTTGTCAAGCGAAGAGACTTGCCGTTGTAGACCGACGTGGCAAGATTAGCGGACGTGTCAGATTCTGGTACGACTGCAATATGTCTACGTGTACTACCGTCACAACGCACCCGCATTATGAATGGATACAAGGTATTATTCCGGTCCGATAGAGTCATAATGAGGGTGCGTTGTGCTCGGGTGAAGACGGTAGTTGTGACTTGGATGCCTGTTTACACGGTCTGACTGTTTACACGGTCTGACTGTCCTGGCAGATGGGCGGACGTTTGTGTGTGACGGCTTGTCAACTTGGTCGACCTGCATGTGCGACTTCATGTGAATGCATGAGAAACCTCGCTGATACGTACTTCGATTTCCAGCTAGCCATCCCATAGAGGCTGGTTCACACTTCGTGATCGTGCTAGTACCTATGCGCGATCGTTTTCCCGATCTCTTCACCAGAGTGCTGAACTTCCTCATGTGATAAGAGGCGAGCCTTTAATCAGATACTTCCGTTGTGCTCGGGCTTCCACGTGACATACGACATATAGATAGATAAATAGATAGATAGATATAGATAGA